AGACTGCTGAATTGATATTTAGAAATACCGTTTGGGTTGTTGAAAATAATTGTTCACCCACTTTATCTTCAGAAAATCTTCAATTGTTGTGCTAAAAAAATTAAACAATTTATGGTTTGAAATGACACAATGAGGCACAGTGGGTAGCCTCTTAGCAAGAAGGTCGCTATTTCGAGCCTCGGCTGGGTCATTTCTGTGTGGAGTTTAACAGTTTGCATGTTCTCCCCGTGTTTGCGTGGGTTTCCTCTGGGTGGTCCGGTTTCCCCCACAGTCCAAAGACATGCGGTACAGGTGAATTGGGTAGGCTAAATTGTCCATAGTGTATAAGTTTGTGTGTGAATGAGTGTGTATAGATGTTTCCAAGTGATGGGTTGCAGCTGAAAGGGCATCAGCTGTGTAAAACATATGCTGGATAAGTTGGCGGTTCATTCTGCTGTGGTGAACCCAGATTAATAAAGGGACTAAGCCGAAAAGAAAATGAATGAATGAATGACACAATGACTTTCCCAGTGAGGGGTTGCAGCTGAAAGGACTTCCGCTGCATAAAACATATGCTGGATAAGTTGGCGGTTCATTCTGCTGTGGCGATCCCTGATGAATAAAGGAAAAGAAAATGAATAACTTGAAACCTCAACTTTAGAACGTGGGGTTTAATACCTTAATTTGCTTAATTTTCTTTGCTGAAGCTGTTCCAGAGCAATATATGTAAAAGTGACCACTATGTGTCAATGTAGAGACAGTTTTTTAAATGTTTTGAAGCTTCGACACATTTGCTTTCAGTGTTTCACAAAGCCTCACTTTATCCACCACTACACTTAATTTAATAGCAAGTGACAATCTGATAAAAGACATTTGTTTATTATGCCCCATGCCGTAAAACCACCCACTTTATAAAAAGTCACTAGGAGAAGGGTATAAACCAAAGGGTGCCCAAACTTGATCCTGGAGGGCCAGTGTCCTGCAAATTTTAACTCCTTCTTGCCTCAACAAACCTGCATGGATGTTTCTAAAAGGCCTAGTAATGCCGCAGTCAGTTTGAGCTTGCAAAATTATGTCGAAAAGGGGCAGGATTAAACAAGAGGATTAGACATTTAAAAACAGTGAGCAATTGTTCCACATTTTAAATTTCTGTCCAGAGAGGTCATGTTTTTATCTTCAATTGGTCTCACGCAGCCACGTGATGTGATTTTGCAAGTCAGAGTCTGCCAAACCTGAACTTTCCAACAAAGCGTACAGTGAGCTTGCGTTTCCAGTCTGTCACATTTGCTTGTGTATGAATGGAAGTCTGTAGGGGCAAAAATTGCAGTGTGACCACAGCTTAAGAGCATGATTAGCTAGAGGTGTGTCTGATTGGAGTTCAAACTGAAGCTGCGGTCACACTAGAGTTTGTGTGAGCGAAATTCTGTCGTACGGCGCTGCGAAAAAGGGCGGGATTAAATCAAATGATTAGACATTAAAAAAGCAAGTGATCGGTCCATATTTTAAATTTCTGTCCAGAGAGGTCATGTTTTGATCCTCGATTCGTCTCCGGCAGTCAAGTGATGCGATTCTGCAGGTCAACATTCACCAAGCTTAAACTCCACAGCGACCTGCGAAAATTGACACTTGAACTTGCGTTTCCGGTCTGACTCATTCTCGCGCGTATGAATGGAAGTCTATGGAGAAAAAAGTCCAGTGTGACCAGTTTAAACTTTGCAGGACACCAGCCCTTAGCACCGAGTTTGGGCACTTTTGTAAACAGAGGTTGAAGCCAGCTCTAAATGGGAACTGAGCTCCAAAGTGAGCTGTACAAACCTGCAATTTTCATTTATTTAAAGTCTTGTACATGTCATGGAGTCTAACCTACATAAATGTCTAAACTTACCCTAACCCTAAACCCAACTCAGCAGTTACCTGATCTTTTATTAATGTCTACTACATCTAGGATCAACCCTAAACCCAGCCCACTTGTGGCATATGTCCCCTCCCACTTGGAGGTCACACAGCCTACTTGCAATGTAATCCCTCCCACTTGGAAGTCTCCAGGCAGCAGCAATACCTACATTGGGGTAACTACTTGGTCACCAGGGCTGTAGATGGAAATCACAGAATCATTATGGTCAGACAGCACCAGTTGAACCACTCGCACAAGCAAACAAAATTGGCTTGAAAAGGGAAGGAAAAGGTGCCTGGCAGGAACTGACGCATGCAAAGCCATTCGCTGTAAGTATCAGAGCATCATTGTGTCACTCAAAATGCCCATCTAGCAACAAAAGCGGAATGGAGCTTTAATTGCTCTCTGCGTTCAGCGGCGGCCGTCATTGACTGCAACTGCTTAGAGGAAAGAAAATCACATCCACTGCCAGGCAGCCATAAATCACAGCTTTACTGGTACATGCACATTTGAGTCTGACAGAATCATTTAAAGACTCGGTGGGCTCGCAATCATAGGGCAATTTGAGCTTTCCTTCAAAAAGAGTTTTAATTGAATTAGTCTGAGCGATTATATGCTCCAAACTAATGGGGGCAGTTTCATCTGGCGGGGCTCACTGAGCTGAATAAAGAGCCAAATCTCAGTTCCTCCGTCATTACCGGGACTCAAATGTCAGGACGGTATCAGATAAACAGTCGTGCAATTCTCTGCCATTTCAAAGCCCGGTTTGATCGCTATACTGTTTACATAGGCAGCTGCTTTCGAAGAAAACATCCGACAGTCACCTTTCTGTTCTCAAGTTGCATTTTATTAACTTTTACTTTTCTAACACACACACATGTACACACAGTGACTGTATAGATTAATTGCTCCATTTAGCTATATTTGATGCTCTAATAGTTCATATTTATTAACAAGATTTTTAAAGTTTGTTGAGAAAGACCTTGATGCTGGCTTCAGAAACCCGAGCAATATAGTTTGAATTAAAGCCTGAAAGTTTTAAAGTCAAATGCAGTCTATGATAGATCAATTTAACACATTAGTAGCATGTTTCTATGTAAAATAGCACTTTGCTAACATGATACAATATGCTGCTAGCATGTTATCATGAATTAGTATTTTTAACGTTATGCTTTAGCGTACTGTTAGTATATTTCTAGCATGACAAAACTTTGCTAGCATGTTCTATAGCACTTTGCTGTTTATGTTTTGAATAATCATGTTGCGAACATAACAATGTAGCATGATTTAACACATTGCTATTATGTTTCTAATGCAATCTGAAACATGTTTGTTATTGATTGATAATATGAGCCTTGACCATTTGAACATTGCCTATATAACTAAGGGATTTAATTGACATTTTTAGGAAAGCTAGTCCTATCGGTATGAAAACTTTAGCTTAAAGGTTTAAAAGTCAAATAATTGCTAACTAGCATTGCCGTTTGTTGGCTTTCTGAAGCAAACATATGCAAAGAAAATGTATACAATAGATTCTGGAGTTGCCTGATCCACAAGATGCTGCCCTTACCCTCATGTACTGTTGGGGATGTTTTTATCCACTCTGGAGTGATTTTGAATCTTAATTTGACCACAACTTGTTCTGTGTTTTAGCAAGCAGGATGATTTGACAAAGGTTATTTTGACATTTTTTGAGAGAAAAAAAAACTCAACGATACACTCTGGGCAAATTTACTACTCCTTTGTTATGTTAGGGATGAAAACATCCACTGAATTAAACTGCTGTAAAAATGCATTAGACACACTTTTTTTCAGATTTATTTCCATAAATCTGTTAATAAACCTTAGTCCTGTTCTAAACTACTAAAATCTTAGACAATCACAGGGCTTTAACTATTTAATTGCCAAATTCATTAAAGTTGTTACTGATTTGGTGATAAAAACACACACACACACACACACACACACACAAAATTACGTATTTTCAATATAAAAAAGTATATGTGTACAGAATTTTTTGACCTATTATTAAATCTTGTATTTGTGAAACAGCATTGCCTTTGTGTTTATAAAATGCAAAGCAATGTATGCTCATGCTTCACTTGTAGAAAATCACTTTATTTGTTTATATATATATTACTTTGACTATAAACAGCTACTGAGCTAAAATGAAAACTACTTTCATATTTCCTAGGATCGGCTCCACGTCACGCCCCTACAAACATAGCCTTTTGCGCTGTGTAAACAGTGAGTCAGAGCAGCTGTTAGCAGCTTGAATCAAACAGAAAAATGAAGAGCTCACAGCTGAACCACACACGCTCTCTAAAATAAAATCTGACAAGTGTGTTTTACATATATTCGGAATAAACATATGTAAGTAATATGAAGCATTCACATATCTTTTGCGAGTTCGTTATTTGAGATGTAGAATGCACGGAAAGTGGCCACTTAGAGAGAAACTGCAGCGCTGCCGAAGATTGTGGGTGTTTACAGCAGCTTGACTGATGAATATGAATTTGTAGCTAAATTGTTAGCGGTGCCAAACAGCATTTCCTGTTGTTTACATCCTTGTTTACTTCCTCGCTACAACATTCCTAGAAACTACAAAACTGTGCATGTAATAGATCAATTTTAACAAATAAAAATACTTACAGGTTGTGGCTCACAATCCACAGTTTCGTCGGTTGGAGGAGTTTAAACCAAAAACAGAACAAGCTCTGTGGAAAAGCAGCATTTGGACGGCGTTTTAGCTTTCTTGGCTATACCATTACAGCGCCTCTGGCCATGCCCATCGCTGCCCAGGGAGTGTGCAAGGAAGCCCTTGTGATCTCACTAGCCTGGATGTATTTTTTTGTCGTGCCCAAATTAATTCGCTGTAGGGTTTGCTAAGCTAACTCTGTAAAAGCCAATGTCTCCCTTTGCATTGAACATTGAGAGTCTTGCATTCAGAGATGTTATGTTCACACAGCTACATTACACATCAACTAAAGTTAAAAACATGATATTGTAGTGGACCACCCCTTTAAAGACACCAAATTGTACAGAACCAAACTAGATTTGACATCTTGTGTGTATACACATAATCCAGAGAAGTCAGTTTAAATCAGAAGACCAGGGACACCAGCACTTTTAGCGAAAAATGTTTAATCTCTCCTTGATGCATGTGTTTATTTACACATAATAAATTTGCAAAATAGGAAAGAGCACAATATTTACACAATGAGCATTTAACAGCCAACCTGTCACAGTTGATTCAAGTCTGAAACTCTTCAAAAGGTATCAGAATTAATAAAGTATTAAAATTCTTTAGTTTGCGTTTTTCTTTGAAATCTACATGCTCACATTTTGTTCCTATGTTTAAGTTAATTCATCCTTCCAAAAAAGGATTTTTTTTTCTTCTTCAATCTGGAAACACCATGAGCGGGAAATTAAAAAACCGGATTGGTCTTTTGGACTGAGAAGGAGGAGTAGGAGTGTAAGAAAAAGGATGTGGCCAGATAGCGATAAAGAGGCGCATTGAAAGAGATGGATTATGGGTAATGGAAGGGTCGAAGGCGGCTGAGAAAAACGAGAGAGGAGTTGACAAGGCACTCTGTGCGAAACGAAAGCTCTGTGAGTCTGAAACACCTTCTGTTCAGCTTGTTTTCCCTCTACATCATCTTTTTTAAGTGTGTTTGTTTGTTCCTGTACTCAAAGTAGTTCACAAAACGAGAAGCATCACTCAAATACGTTACACTGAAATGATCTCTGAAGAGGTCCACGTTTTCCACAACTCAACATCTACCAAAACGATTGAAAAAAACTCTAAGATAGCACTCGTCATTAAAAACAAATCGAACGAAAAGGCAAAGACGACATCAAGGTGAAACACATGTCCTGAGACATTGCACAACGCAACCAGCTGCTTTACAATCACCAATCACCAAAATCCTGCCAACGTAGCACAAAGCAAAAGCACATCGAGATCTTCTGACAATAAAAATAAAATAAAGTTATGATCAGATCGTACATAATGATATGTAGAATGAACATCATCAGCCTTTGGAATGAATGTAGAACAGCATGCTTGTATTCTGTAAGGTCAAAGCATGCAGAAACTAATCTGAGAATGAACTAACATAAGAAAAGCTAGACGGATGGATCCAAGTCACCGATACATCCTAAGTTTTCCTTTCTAATGCTTAAAATGAAGACAAACACTTCCAAAAATGTGTATAGGAAGTCCATCTATCTATTTACTCCATCGACAGTTCCTTCCATGTTCAACTTGCACTTAAACTAATGACAGAAGTGATCGCTAAAAGCATAACATTACCAAGCAAACAAATCCAACATCGATCTATATCTTCGAAGACAAAAAAAAAAAATGAAGGCAATTCCTACATCTCAAGTCCAAGGAGGGATTGTCTTTACCATGGAAGATACATCGTGGAGAGTTGTGGAGACCTGCTCCCATTTGATTAGGAGAAATGGCGTACAAATCATTAAGCGTAATCCCGAAATAAATAAAAGCGTACAGATTTTATTACTTTCCCATCTGGAACGAACCCTGACGTATGGCTGAGGTAAAAAAGCGAGCAAGGCCCCGTCAACCGTTGAGTTTGTGCGACTCGCTCTTTCTCTCATTGGGTTTCTGACCTAAATCTTTCAAAGACGCTTCTATCGCATCTCAGAAAAGTCTACTTCTGCTTTAATCTCAGAGGAAAGCCAAAGGAGGAGAGGCTTTCTCTTGTTTGAACATGACTGACTTTAAGAGAACCGTTGCAGCACATGAAAGCGCAGTCGCTGCAACACACGTCCTCGCAGACTTACTGACTCTCGCAAGAGAGAGGATAAAGAGAAACTCCATAAACAACCAAGATGGCGAAGAAAAGCAAAGCAGAGCTCCACTTCATCCGCTTGATGCCCCTGAAACAGTTTGACTTTGAGGATCGCTTCACATTTGTATTTGTAACACTGCAAATCACTGATCTTGATGGAAGGGAGTTAGTGGATTGTTGAAAATCAACAGGAGTGAGAAAAAGAAGCGCTTAAACCCATGTCATAGGGAAGCTGAGTAGCTTATGAGCTTAAATGAAACAAAAAATAAATACACTTTATGAAATGGATCTATTTCCCCAAAAATGAAAAAAAAAATAGTGCTGATACAATGGACGTTTAAGAACGTGACAATAATTCTATTGGAAAAAGCAATTTGTTTCTTTACTTTAAAAATTAAAAGGTCAATTAAACCATTGACTTGTTGACTTTACTTAAAAAAGTGAATAAACCCATTGTCACCGTTAAGTTGACCTAACTTAATTCTTATAATGATGCACATTAGGGCATTGCAATATATCGTTTCAGCTTTGATACCGCATCACATTGCAGCAACTGCAATGCAGAGTTGGAATTATTATGATAGTTGATCGGCAATAAAGAATGTAGAGTGTTTACATTTTACATTACATTTGAGTATTCAATAATAGGGACAGCACAAAACAGATATATACATGAGATGGAACTTCTCGTAATGGTGGATCAAACATATATCACTGAGTACATTTACTTGGACACCAACAATCTGATTTTAATGCGATCAAGACAATTCTCTGATTAAGAGTTCCCTATGTAAACAGCTCATTTGTAATCTGATTAGGGTCATAATCGAACTAAACAGAAATCGGATTAAGACGTGGAGTATGTCGATTTTAGTTATTGAAGTGCAGTACAGACATGTAAACACCTTAAACTGTTGCCGTCGTGTAGGATTTTACGCTGCATTTTGCGACAGGATAGTCTATACATACGGCTAATGATACTGTTCTCGGCATCGCAAAATGCTAAGATTTTTTTTTTTTTTCCCATATGGCGTGCGCTATTAAATTCAACTAAACCTACACTCTTCCAGTAGTTCCTACTTACATCCAATATCTCATTTGTCACAGGGAGCAAGCATAAAATGTTCCTAAATGAAAGTGAAATAGTCAAAATGCAGTTAATGTCAACAAATTAAAAATGAAATACCCGAAATTACATGAAACTCCAGAGGAAATGTGGATAGTGCGGAAACGCAATGACGTTAATCGAATTATGTGCTTAAACATGTAAAACATGATCATGAAAAGTACATTTAAAAAGCAACTCATGTTAACACATTAATCATATCATCGTCTTATTCCGATTAAGGCAAATAATTTGATTACTGATGTCCATGTAAACGTAGTCAGTGTTGCAATTCTAAGAAATATATGTGCCGATAATAAAAGAAATACATCTTATAACTTTTTGTTGCATTTTTTACTTCTTCATTTACAAATACCTAAATATTCTGTGGATGGTTTTCTTGTTATATATCGCTGATATCGTGATCTATTATTATTAGGGGGAAATATCATGATAATATCGTATCGTATCGTATTACTGTACATGAATATCCAGCCTGATCTCACAACAAAACGTAAGTATTTTATGCTTTGTCCGTTTTGTGGCTAATTCGTTTGAATTTGTACTAGGTCAGTAGTACGAAATTGTAAAATTTTTAAAAAGGAGGTGTGGCACATAACCCCACCCCTAAACCCAACCGTCATTGGGGGATGAGCAAATCGTACTAATTTGTACAAATTAGAACATACGAATTCATACAAATTAGCCACTAAATCAAAAAGTTACGAATTGCCATGAGATTGTGTTGGAATATCTGACTACTAATTTCACTTTAATTTATTTATTCTAGCAATTTCTTTGTTTCACTCCTCTACAAGATTATTCCAACCAAAGTTAACAATTGTATTCCAAATAAAGCTATTCAAGTATTCATTACACAATATAAATCGCAGCAACACAAAATATTGTAATGTCAGATTTTTCCAATATCGTGCAGTAAAAAGTTTTTTTTTTAAGTCAACCAAAACGCTTTAAAATAAACGGGTTTACTCACTTTTTATAAAATTAAATTAAATGAATAACTTTTTACAATGCAGTGCCTTTGTGATCAGCTTTGGGTTTAAAGGAATAGATGACCCAGAAATTAAAATTTGCTGTTAATTTATTGACCCTCGGGTCAGTCAAGATGTAGGTGACTTTTTCTTCAGTCAGATTTTTTGCTGAAACTGTGATTCATAACATGAATGATAAAACAAAAGTAATATCCACTTATTTGGATGTGCATTAAAGGTGATTTAAATAATCATTTGATTATTGTCAAAATCCACAGCTACTCATTTAGTTTTACCTGTACACTGTAAAACCCAACAGTCAACTTTATCGAATTAAATGAGTGTAGTAAACTTAAAATTGACTGAAAGTTAATTCTATTTATTTGAAAAGTGTTTTGAATTCAGTGTTGAAGGTAATAAGTTAATTAATTACCTCATTACTTCAACTTAAATGGAGTAAGTTGACAGTACTCGTATAGATTAGTTTTTTAACTTAAATGGTTTGAAGCAATCAGTTTCCTCAAACGGTTTAAGTTGCCTTAACTTATTGGACTTTACAGTACTCAGTTTGAGTTCTCTTTATTTATCGGGTTTTACTGTGCTCAAATTGCTTTATTTACTCAAACTTCACAGTACTCAGGATTAGTTTTGAACTTAAATGGTTTGTTGCAATCGGTTTCCTTAAATGGAATTACCTTAACTTTTTGGGTTTTGCAGTGTGTTTATTTTTGTTTTAATTCCTCAATCTTTAATGATCCACTAATTTCAGGATTTCAGAAGCCCTGAGTGAGAGTAAACTAACAGCAAATGTTCATTTTTGGGTGAACTATCCCTTTAACTGACTACTAACTAACTAATGAGGGACACATTCACGTGATCATATGGCGTTCTGTGTGCCAAAGTTTCACTTCAAGCTTAAAAAAAAAAAAGTAGAAACAGTTAAAAGAGAGATGTAACTGCATGATATTAACATTTGCTACATTTACTGTGATGTCACAGAAACCTCTGGAAATGACATCATCAGTAATGGAACACATTCGTAGGTTCTTCAATCTCAAGTTTTCCTTCATTCTAGACTGATTTGTGCAAAAGTTACCGAGGCTTAAGAGTGCTCACGTCTGATAATGGAAATGAACGCAAGATGAAAACGGCCAATTATTAATTATCAATCATGTTTTTCGCACGGAATAGCAAAGAATATGTCCTCAAGTGGCTTTCAGACTCAAACCATAATAGCAATAAAGGTTGAAAAAAGTGTACAAACTAAATACACAGATTCATCCACCAACTAAACAATGAACCCTTTGTTTTTCACGAGGACTTTTTCCTCCAAAAAACACTAAGGTACCACATGGGAACACATTTGTCTGAGTTTGTTTTTTTTTGCACATTTTTTTCACTCTCAGTTCTTCAGTCACTAGGGTAGTCAACATTTAAATCAAAGCACATTTTATCTAAAGAAAATTGTTTTTTTTTTTTTTTTGCACTAAACAACATTCAAATAAAACATGGCACAGGACATTTTTTTCAATATCGTTTTGTTTTTTTCATAGTTCAGTCTTTTGTTTCACATATCAAATTCATCTTACTCTTTTTCTATGTTAAAATGGAAAACTTTGTACGCGTCTTTTCACTCTTTTCGTATAAAAATGCAGTTGTATTTATATATCTATACACATTTATATATATATTTATATCATTTTCATTTGTTGTAGTTCCTGTAAATTGTGCAAATTCAGCAGTAACACAAGTGGCAGGAGACTGGAGTGAGGGAGTTGTTCGATCAACCCGAAGAGCAAAACTATTTAATACGAAATTAAGCGCTGAAATAAAACTCCGATTGTGGGAAGAAAAAAAAAAATCACCACAATTTATCCTTCATGGGCTTTTAAGGTCTTCTGGCTCATAATACAAGACATCCTTGGTGAGTAAAAGCACACATACGTGGCTCAACAAACTCCGATATGGAAAAAAAAAATCCCAAAAAAGTCCTATTGGTTGGACGTGGCATCCGGGGAGACATTCTGGTGAGTGTTGAGTTCAAAGGAAGTGATAAACGAGGATTTCCACCCTGGGCTGAGGGGTCTCCAGTGTACTGCTTCTGTCCTTGCAGTCCGTTAGCTTAGTATGCGTGTGTGTGTATGTGTGTGTGTCTGTGGCTTAGGGGACGGGGTCTGGAGGTCAGGGGGAGACCGCTGAGGTGGGCGGACAGACGGGGAGGGTTTCTCAGCTTGTCAGAGCCATGGTGTCGATAACCTGTTCCAGTTTACTGCGCAGTCTCTGTCGCCGAGATAACTCGTCTTTCTGTAGCGCCGACAGGATCTATAGAGAAGAAAAAGACCTCTGATTAGAGAGTTTTCACAGTTTAGTTGGTTCCAAAAGGAAAATTTCTTTGATTATTTGTACTGCAATTCTCTTTATGGCAAGTAACGCTTCAAATAGACACTTATTGTAGCCTACAACACTATTTTCTTGCACCGCGCAAGTAGTTTCAAGTGCCACAAGATGCTTCCTGTGTTGTTCAGTGTTTAAACAAAATTGAGATATCGTTTAGAGGCCGTTTAGAGGTCATTTCTGGTTAATGATGTCAGAATTTACCACTATTTTAAATTAGATGTGTGAACGGTCTTTTCAGGAAACATTCCGTATTGTCCTCGCCTGTGCGAACAGCCCTTTTTGGAATCAACCGGTAAAGTTTGTTCTGGAAATTTACCGGTATCACTGTGTGAAAGGGGCTAATGACGTTATGTGAGGGTATATTTGTTATTGATTTGTGATTGTAAGCAGAGCGGCCTAGGAACTCATTGCGAGTGTTGAAGCTGGCTTCTGCTGATGAAACTATCTTCAGTAAACTTTATTTATTTGTTTGAATCTCTAATTCCGGCTCTTCTTCATCTGACAAACTGGTCATTCTTTGGATTAAAACTATAAATAATCCCTACAAAACACATATAACTGAGAAACTGACTTTAGAATTGTTTTACTGATAAGCATGTGTGTTTACTTAGCATGTTTTTTTTAAATATCTGCAAATATATTATGGTATTTTTATGTTTCAGTATAAAAAGTATAAAAATACTATAATATATTTGCAGATATTTAAAAAAAACATGCTAAATCTGACCTAAAGTAAAATTAAAATACATATAGTTTTATTATTATTAAATCTAAAACTTCAATCAAACACTAAAGTTGAAATTATTATAAAAAAAATCCATCAGTATTCGATGATCCTACAACAACCCCATGCAGAATGAATTTAAATTGACCTGTTCACTATAAAAACAAACCTCTAATGCTAATTTCATGGTGGCTTTAAAGATAGTGTAATTCAAACACACAACCTCTTTTGGCTACCAGTCAGGATCTTTAACCATTGGACTTCATCGCCCACTTTAGGAATGTGTCAGTCTGTTGATGGAAATGCAAATGTGCCGATCACGCTGTCGCAACTTGTTTGCAAAACAGCGTGAGATGCTAACAACCCATCTGTGTGGTTTAACCGAAAAAAAAAAAAAAAAGAAATGCAAGTGTCTAAAATGTACAAGAAACGTGCAAAAAAAAGAATCTCCAACACCCTCAGCGTCAGATAATGGGCCGCTAATTTCCCTCCTGTTTTCACGCAGGTTCAGCGAGGGTGTTCGCGTGGACACGTGCGCATCTGGATAATAAAGACTAATGAACATAAACGGCTGTTTAAAACGCAACCAGCTGCAGTGTATTAATGTCAGACAGAGCCGTTTCCTAGAGCTGCCGTGGAGATGATGTTTGATGAGTTGTGTTAGACTAAACTCTCCCGAAGGTGAGGGAAATGAAAGACGGAAATGAAACGTTTAGAAAGAAAGGGCTGGTTGCTAACTATGGACTCCTTTTTATATCTGCTTAATGGGTGAAGAAACACAGTTGTAAATGTAAGAATAATTATGCGGACCCAGTGTGTCTATTTCTTTTCTTTTCACTAAACACACACACGTACGTACGTTCGCTCATTTCTGTGTGAGGTAGAACTAAATGGTCTCCTTCAGCGGCTCATTATCTCTCCATTTATCCAGGCTGGCTGGAATGAGTCACTGCTTTTGACACATGATCTCGCGTGTGCTGTCAGATGGCGTTACGTGTGAAGGACTACATGGATAATAATGCGAGTGGCCATGTATTAAAAGTGTTAGATTTCAGTTTTGGACATTTCAACAGCCTATTCAGGCCTGCTTTGGTTGAAATTTCTACTAGTCAGTACTAGTCAGAGATGAAGTCTCTTTTTCCTTGCTCTTTTAAATATAGACCTAGGCAAAATTAGACTATATGCTATTTTTCACAGAAAGTAGTAATATGTGTTAGTTGACTCTACTCTAAACCAAACGTTAAATTCCCTGACTAAAAATCTGATTTCCCATGACCTGTAATGCATAGAGATTTTAAGTTTTGAAGTAGGGCTGTGCAATTAATCGAAATTTAACAGCAATCGTGATTTGAAACGTTGTTATTAGCTCATAGCATGAGGCTGTGATATGAATAAATATATTATTTAATTTCCACACCCAGAGCAAATGCATGACTGCCGTCTGTTTGTGACAGTTTTACTAGCCAACTTGAGTGAGCAAACTTTCATTCGCCCAATCAGAAATTTGCAACAAAACTATGTGGAACGCCCACAATAAAAAAAAAAAAGGGAAAGGAAAGCTCAGACAAGTGGGATGATGGTGTCTGCTGCTTTACAAGCATTACAGTTTTTCTCAGTCGCTTTGGTGCATTTCTCACAACACTAGTGCATTTTTGCACAACATTTAATGATTTTCTCTAAACAATTAGTACAAACTGCAAAACCTAGCTGATAACCTGCAAAAGCGCGTCACATGCTCAAAATGGATAGTTCATTCCTCAAAAGCAAGTATTCATGTCAATCAAAGTGTCAGTGTCATCAAAATGAAAAGTCCTGCCACCATTGTTTATGAACAAGATAGTCAAACGGTTTAGTCATGTTTTCATCATGACAGTTTATATTTTTTCAACGCAAAAAAAGGCTGATTTTGGTGACACTCCCTGAAAATGCTCAAGACAGCACTGTATACTATTTGCACAGCCATTTGAAAACTACAGTAAAGTTAGACATCACTGCATTTAGTGAGGTATCTGAGTACAAGACACTGAATATGTATGTTTCGCATTTTTACTGCATTTGCTCTTTGCAATACTAATTTATTCCCAGCATTGTGCAAAAGAATAAACACACCCTTATTTACAACAAACATAAACTCCCTTTAGGTAGAGCTGTGCACAACTGTACACAATATTGCAGTACATATTGGAACTGAGCCTACAACATACACAGGTCTGTAAATCATTCATCAAATAGTTCAATTTTAAAGACATTTTCAGGAAAATAAAGATTTAAATTTGTTTAAAAAAAAAAGCTTGACAGATTTTGACAACTAGTTCAACATTTTTGTATATAATGACTCAAGTAATGAAATGAAGACTATTAGTTTTATATAGAATGACTATTCAGCATTCACAAGTTTGGTTAATTTAGACTGACATGACATAAGCAAATGATAATGTTATAAACAGCAGAGAGTTGTATGAAAGCAATTGATGCATGTCCAAAAGCATTCGCAATTTGTTGAAAAGAATGAGAAACTGCTACTGTGATGTGCACAAATGACTAATTGTTTTGAGAAATGCATTACCTGTTGTGCAAATGTAAATAGTGTAGTGAGAAATGCACCAAAGAGACTGAGAAAAACTGTAATAGACAAATTACTATCAAAGAAAAACAGCACGTCGGTAATATGGGAATATTTTGGTATCAGACACCATCCAAAAACAGGGAATATGTAAGATCTGTTGCAGAATTGTTGACAGCACAAAGAAAAACGACAACCAGCACCTAAAAAACAACACAGGTGGCTTTATAAGGAGTGTGATTGAGCTTGAGCTGAAGCTTAACTAAAATATTGAACTGCAAATTAAATAGAAATCGTAGTATTTGTCAAAAAAAAAAAAAAAAAAAAAAAATCACAATTAAGGATATTTTCCCCAAATGCTGAAAATATTGCAAATCATTTTAAGAAAAGTCACCAAAAAATCAGTAATTTTAGGCCACATGAAAGAAAAAGTCCCACAAAATCCAGGTTTAGCACTGAGCAGACAAAAGAAAAAAAATTCACAAGAAGGCTAATTGCTTTGACTTTAACTATATACTGTATGCATTAACAAATTCACTGACTTTCAATGTCTAGAATAAACCTTTTTAAATCTTCATGATATTTCAGGAATTCCCTGACCCGTGGGAACCCTGAAGATATAACGCTGTTTTTCTCTTACCTCGTCTTTGTACTTGGTGATGTAGGAGTAGATCTCGTGGAGGGCGCTCATGCTGTTGAACTGGCTCAGATGGAGTCTGGACTGCTCCGCTAGATAAGCACTCATGTCCTGATCACTGATGGCAGGCATGCGTGCGATGTCTGAGTAATACCTGTAGGAAGGCAAGACAAACAGTTAAGCGTGATGATCTGGGTCTTTGACGGTTATAAATAGGGATTAACAATGTAAATTATATCTTATTTATAAGATTAGTTTGACCAAAAAATTAAATCGTTATTAATTACTCACCCTCCTGCTACTCCAAACCTCCAAGACCCAAAGAAATTACATAAATTAAGATATTTAGGTTAAATCTAAGAACTCCCTCATCCATCATGGACAGGACCTTTCAAAGTCCAGAAAAGGAACCAAAAAATCCTTAAAATACTGTTGTGCTAACACAAATTGATTAAGTTAACTTAATCCCTTTTACAAATTTAAGTAGGTTGACCATAAAACCATTAGGTTGTATTTAAAATAAAACACAAACCAAAACTCATTTTAATTACGTAGTTTGAACAAGCAGCAAAAATATTTTTTTCGAGTGTATGGAGGATGAGGGAGCTCTCAGATTTCACCTACAATAGCTTAAATTGTGTTCTGAAGATGAACTAATGTCTCAGGGGTTGGAATGACATGAGAATAAGTAATTAATTATTTTCATTTTTGGGTGAACTAAAACTTGAATATCTCCACTTGCTTACCTTTCTACCCAGTTCTTGTAATTGGGAATATCTTTAGCGTAGAGCAGCTTATTAGAGGGGGAATCTTTGCCGAGCTTGTGTTCGGACGTGGAGCAGGAGTCCATGAAGGTTTGGGCCACGACTGAGAGACACGCATCCGTGATGCTATTCTTGTGGATGTCAAACACAAACTGAGGATTCTTTATCACATTCACCCAGAACCTTAACGGCAAACTGTAAAATATAGAAAACACACAGGAATGAGGATGGAAAAAAAACTAGCTGAATTCATGAAATGGTAATTATATATGCATCTCAAATGAGACGTTCAAACATTGTCGCTCCTCACCAGTTGCTCTTCCAGGTGTGCCGAACATCTGAATCTGTGATTTGGTGTTTGTCCGCCTGCTCATCCAGGAAGTCAAACATGTATTTGATGGCGAGAGGGAGAGCACTGCCACGATGCGCTGTGCTAAATATCGTCTCAAACAAATCATCAACGAATTTCTGTAGTGTACCCTGTAATGAAAGAAGTAAAAATGCCTTATATATTGCATTTTTTCATATGCAATACAGAACAGCCATTCATGTAACCCTCTACTACACGCATTATGATAAATCTGATATGTCTATCTTGACTGTTTTTCTTTTCTTAGAATGGCTTAACTTGAAGTGCTGTAAAAAAATGTTGATTTTTTTTTTAAGTTACTTTTTTTTAAGTTACTTTACTTACAGGCCCGGATTGGCTAATCGGGAGGACCGGGAGAATTCCCGGTGGGCCGGTCCGTTTTTTGGCCGCGAGGGCCGGTGTCCCTAGTTCCAGAATCGGTTGCTCTCAGCAGTCACACTTTTTAAAAATAATTGAATTATTTACTTGACCACAGCCTTCTTATTCATTATTTTACCGCAGCTCTGCTCTTTTTATCTATTTTCTCGTAGCCTCGTGAGCAGGATGCAGGTTAATGATGATATAACTAGATAAGTCACCATTAAACGTACAGCTGTTGTGGTACAGTGGTTAGTACGTTAGATTATGATGCGGCCAACTTGGGTTCGGTCCTTGTCTGAGTAACAATTTTTTTTTTTTTCATTTTTATTGTTAAGACATAATACTGTAAGGGTTGTTGAACATTTGAAGTTCTAAAAGAGCTGTTTTCTCAAAAGAAAACGTGATAGTGTAATTAGAAACTGAATTGGAAATAACCTTATTTTAATATAGTCAGTGGTGAACTGAAGTGGGCCGGTATGAGGCTTGAAATTCCAGGGCTGAAAAAGAGTCCCACTCCGGCCCTGTTTACTTAAGTTACTATATGGCAACAATGTCCAACACTTTTCTTATAATTAATCTTTTTTTTTTTTTTTTTTTAATGATTTAATTGGTGTTGCAGAATTATAAGCTTTAACACAGAACGTATAAATGACACCTTATACATACTTTCCAACAACTGATCTTCCAACAGCTTTCATTTAATCCATTCTTTTTGCTGAATATTATTGAAAACAAACCTGATATTGTATTATCATGTATACAATATACAGTAAATATAACTAATTTCTTCACTAATATTATAACAAATAAATAACAAGTCTAGTATATCCAGATGCATCTGAATAATGTAGCTACAAGCTAACAATGTTTATATATTATACGCTATACTACTGTATAATATACTACTATACACTATACTAAATCTGTCTTCTCTGCGTCAGAGCTAACTTACCTGAACTGTCTGCATCACTGCTCTTATCAAATGTCCAATCTACATCATTCTCATGGTCACTAAAGCCCATCTCATCCTCACTTTCATCTGCAGGAAAGCCAGTTCTGTCCTTTTCTTCTTTCACTTACCATTGAATATGTAGGTGCTCGCTAATACACAGTTCCCTGTATTTATATATAATCAACATTACTGACATTAAAATTAGATTTTATCCATAATTCAAATGCCATTAACACATGACTAATCAACATTATATTACTAGCATTCAAGTTGTTATTGTTACAACTTAAAATATCACAGCTGACCTTGCTGTTTAGCTAGGCTATTGCAATAATATTGCACACTATTCCACTATTGGACAGTGTTGCCATCTGGCAACACATACATTTGATCGATTTACAAAAAACTAATTTGATAAAAACTTTTGAGTGATCAATATGAATACAACTTACTGGAGATGATGTTTCAGTTTTTTTGTGGATCTGACATAATATGATCTTTTGTTTTTATCGACGTTTACATTTACATTCAGCAATAAACATCAGTCGGTCAGATACCGCGTCACAGAAAAACACTGCATGTCATGTGACTTAACCAAAGCACATCATTGGCTAAACTAAGGTCTTCTCTTTAAGAACGTTGGTCTTAAAGAAACAGTGGCAGGGAAATAAACATGGCAACACCATGCAGTAGAGGGTTAAGTGATAAAATCTGTTTTTTTTTTTTTTTTCAAAAATTAAAATGTATGATAAATGTCTACATTTAATTATACATTTTTCAAAAATCTGAAATAATAAATTCAGATTAAATTGAAAAATAAAATCATCCTGGGAAATAAATAAATATTGAAATGCTTTTTAAACGCCATTAAAGACCTTGTTAATATGTAAATATTAACATACAGTACAATTTTACTCAACAACAATATGGCAACTTATTTAATTTTAATAATTTAATTTACTTAAAACATTTATAATAATAATAATAATAATAAATAGTATAATATATATATATATATATATATATATATATATATATATATATATATATATATATATATATATATATATATATATATATATATATATATATATATATATATATATATATATATATATATATATATATATATATATATATATATATATATATATATATATATATATATATATATATATATATATATATATATATATATATATATATATATATATATATATATATATATATATATATATATATATATATATATATATATATATATATATATATATATATATATATATATATATATATATATATATATATATATTTATATATATATATATATATATATATATATATATATATATATATATATATATATATATATATAGTATATATGGTATATATATATATATATATATATATATATATATATATATATATATATATATATATATATATATATATATATATATATATATATATATATATATATATATATATATATATATATATATATATATATATATATATATATATATATATATATATATATATATATATATATATATATATATATAT